AGTCCAAGGACAGCCTGAGTATCTGTTACTTTTCGCCTTCTTCTTTGAGGCAGGATCTCTCCTTACATACGGAACTTGCTGATTTGGTGAGACTGGCTGGCTGTGGAAGCCGCAAGATCTGCCTATCTCCACTCCTCTTCTTCCTCCCTCCCCCATAACGGGGTCACAGAAACGTCATGCTTCTCCTTGGTATTTTATGTAAGGACTGGGGACCAAAACCCAGGTTTACATATTGGTATGGCAAGCAGTTTACTAACAATTGCTCCAAGTCCCCCCACAGAGGAAAATTTAAAGCATAATGGTTGTCAGATATTTACTGTGTTCAATAACACATTTTAAGCCACTACCCCCATTGAGAATGGTGGTTCATGTCTGTCCTTAAGCTGGGGCACAAGTTCAAGGCCATCCTCAGCTACATAGTGAACTTACCAAGTACCAAGACATTTTATTAAGCAATGATTTTGTTTGGAGACAGGGTCTCACTGTGTAGCCCTGGCTGTCCTGAAACTCACTGTGTAGACCAGGCTGGCCTTGAACTCAGAAGATCCATCTGCTTCTGATTATAATGCAAGAAGGGATAGGGAGATCATCGGGCCATAAAAGTCAAGAGACAGACCCAAGACGGGTAAGGTGATATACACGGTAATCACAACACTCTAGAGGCAGAGGAAGGACGGCCACGGGTTCCAGGTCAGACAGGACTACAACGCAAGGCCCCATTTCAAAAGAAAAGAGGGGGATGAAGAAACAGCTCACTGTATAAGAGCATGCACTGCTCTTGCGGAGGATCTGAGTTCAGTTTCCGGTTCCTAACCGGTTGTGGTTGTGTGTCACAACCACAGGCAATCTGATGCCTCGGCTCCACAGAAGTCTCCAAATCACCAGCACTTCCATGCATAGTCTACACACACACATTTAAACTTTTTTTTTTTTTTTTTTTTTTTTAAGACAAAAAGACTCACTGTGTAGTCCCAGCAGGTCTGGAACTCTGTATGTATGTAAGCCAAGCTGTCCTGAGACTCACAGAAATCCTGCTGCCTCTGCATTCCAAGAGTTCTGGGATTAAAGGTGTATGCACCGGGCCCAGCTAGAATTAAATCTTAAAAAGAGAGAGTGAGAGAGTGGGGAGAAGAGAGGGAGCAGAGGCAAGGGGAAATAGATCAGCCGGGTAGAGGTCCAACGGGACATGGGTATGCAACTGTAATTCCAGCATGTAGGAAGCTGACAGGAAGGTTAGGAGGTGAAGGCCAGCCTAGGCAAGACTTGTCTCAAAATAAAATCAAAATTTAAAGTGGAGAAATGGGTCCAAAAATACAGGAACACAGCTTATGAGTTTATGCTTAAAGCTGGTAGGAGCGAGTGTTGAGACAGCCAAGTCACCATCCATGAAGAGGAACACGATACCCTGCCTAATTCACGGCCCCATCAGCATAACCAAGGCTGCTCAGCCCAGTATTTACACTTTAAATCATAAACCATAAGAGGAAAACATGGGATTTTTGAAAATATATTGGAATAGAAAAGTAATTTACAATCATTAACACCAAACCCAAGTCAGACATTAAAAAGAAACCTATTACCACAAACTAGAGAAAAAGGTTGTAATTCTTACACAGCCACTAGAAAAACAATCATTCAACAGAAAGTAGCATTAAGACATTGCACAGAAAATGCAGTATTTGAAAATAGGAAAATATGGTATTAAATGCAAATTACATATAGCAGAAAAATGCAAATTAAAGCTGTCATAACACGCTTCACTCAACAGACTGGCAAAATCAATGCTTCAACAAGCAAAAAAATTGTCAGCAAAGGTATAGGGAAGGGAGCTTTATAACATCCGAGAAAGAACCAAATACCATTTATTGGCTTTTTGTAAATAAACACGTACGCCAAAGTAGTAAATCCAACCCAGGGACTGAACTTTAATATATATCTGCATAAAGAAGCTACTATGTACAAGGACAGTCACCTCATTCTATATTTCAAAGGAGAAAAGAGACTCTAGGTTCCTCAGTAAGGGACTCATTCAATTAATTGTGGTGAAGGCCAAAAGAAATAGCACTACATAGACGAGGACTATGGATAAGGAAGTTAGTCTTTATTTTCTAATGTATTTTACTTTCTACACTTAGAAGCACTAAAGGACTTATTCTTCAATAATGCGTAAGGTTTAGTTTCAATGTTGAGGGGAAGGGGTCTCACTATGTAGCCAAGGCTGTCCATGGCCTTACACTCCTGAGTGCTGGATTGCAGGCCTTAATTAGTAACTACGCCTCTCAATCCCCCACCCCCCCCCTCCCAGACAGGAAGAGTCTCACTATGTAGACCAGGCTGACCTGGAACTCAGAGATCCTCTGCTTCCTGAAGGCTAGGATTAAAGATGTGCCACACCACATCTGGCTTCCATAATTCCTTAACAGCTAAAGATTACCCCAGACTACATCAATTGTTTAACAAGTTATGTCAATGTTTGCTTCCTGCTGAATTGCTGTTTCTAACCTTCTTCTTTTACCTTGTAAAATTCTCCAGCATCTTAAGACAATGAATTCTTCACTGACCTCATCCATAAATTATCCAAGGGGAAATACTTTCCCCCTCAATTCCATTAAGTTTTAATTAGTGGTTATTTTGAAGTTATTTAAAAGTATATTTCCAAATATATGGTGAGACAGCCCTAGTCCTATGCAAGAAGACATTGTGTATAATTCGAACTGATTGATACTTATCCAGACTTGAAGTTCCAGACACAGAAAACAATTTCATATATAAAAGAATAGTTTGTAAATTTGGAGTCCATGTATGTCTGCTAGGCCTTTCAGTGGTATTTGTTCAAATGTTCTATCCTGATTTTGCCCAAGACAGGGATCTTAAAGTCCAAGCTGCTTTTTCTCTTTGTAATTTGATTAACCTTTGCTTTTTATTTATGGAGGCCATGCTATTAGTTACATACAAATAAAAATCAGATCCTTTTAATGAAATGAATCTTTGGACATTATGTCATTTTTTTCCCCTACTTTTTTGGTAAATCATTTTTGTTGTTTCTTCTTGAACTCTTCCTGGTATGATTTCTTTGGTTAATATCTCGACAGCATGGTTTCTCTCCCCATCCTTTAATTTCAATCCTTATCAATCATTATCTTTCTTGGTTGTTTGTTTGTTTGTTTTTGAGGTGGAGTTGCTCTATGTACCCTAAGCCAGTCTGAAACAACAGCAATCTTATCTTTGCCTCCCGAGGAATCCAATTCCAGGTACGTCACCCAGCAACCTAGTCTTCCATTTAAACAAGAAAAAGAGCTTCCTTTCAACTATAGTAACCAGCCTATTCAAAATCTTTTTGGGTTAATCCCAGCACTCGGGAGGCAGAGGCAGGTGGATTTCTGTAAGTTTGAAGCCAGCCTGGTTTACAGAGTGAGTTCCAGAACAGCCAGGACAACACACAAAGAAACCCTGTCTCAAAAAACAAACAAAAGAAAACCCATACAAACAAGCAGAGCTTTTGGAATTACTGACACAATTTATGTCTACCATTCTACCACACAAGTTCCCATTGGCTACTTCTATGTTCTCTGTCTTTGTTTGCTGTCTTATTTTGATTACTGGTTGCTTTTTATAGCTACCTTCTCTTAATGGTTCTAGCATCCAACAGGGTCTCATGTGGCCTAGTTTGGGCTTGAACGGTCCTTATTTTCCTACATCCACTTTCTTCTCAGTGCTAGCATTACATGACTGCACCAACATACTCAGCTAACACTGATAATTTTTTTTTTTTTTTTTTTTTTTTTTTTGCCATTAAGAAGATTCCTTAACATAAAAGGATGGACTCACAAAGGCATTATGTTGACAAATCTGTTTCAGATTTCCTTGCTATATAGTATGCCAGCACCTGGGAACTTTCAGCAGGACTGAGATTGAGGCTAGCATGGGTCACATGAGTCCCTGTCTCAAACACTTACTTCCTCTCTTGAAGACTACCACATGCTTCCTTTAAGATAACACAACACATTTTTCTATTATTAAGAGTATAATGGCTTTATTCTATAGGTTTGTGAATCAACCAGAAAAATGTATATATATTCACACAAAATTTATTCTAAACATTTCAAATTTAACTGCTATAACACTTGACAAATGATTTTATAGCAGCAAGATTTTCTGGCTGTACCTGGTGGCAGGTCTGTAATCCCAGCTATCTGAGAGGCTAATGTA